TACATCAATGTACAACCAGAGAAATGAAAAGTTGTGCTACATTTGTGTAAAAAAATTTTTAAATTAATTTTTTAAAAAAGAATATAAGCAACAATAATTGTTAGCGAGGATGTGAGAGGAAAGGTACACTCAAACATTGCTGGTGGGACAGCAAATTGGTACAACTACTCTGGAAAGCAGTGTAGAGATTCCTCAGAAAACTTGGATTGGAGACACCATTTGGCCCAGCTATCCTACCCCTGTGTTTATACCCAAAGGAGTTAAAAATAGGCATACTACAGTGATGTAGCCACTTCAATGTTTATAGCAGCTCAACTCACAAGAGCTAAACTATGTAACCAATCTAAGTGTCCTTCAACAGATGAATGGATAAAGAAAATGTGGTATATACACACAATGGAATATTATTCAGCCTTAAAGAAGAACAAAATTATGGCATTTGCAGGTAAATGGATGGAGTTGGAGAATGTCATGGTAAGTGAAATAAGCTAATTCCAAAAATCCAAAGACTCAATGTTTTCTCTGATATGCCGATGCTGATTCATAATGTGGGGGAGGGGCACTAGGGAAGAATGCAGGAACTCTGGATTGGGCAGAGGGGAGTGAGGGGAAGGGAGGGGCTCTAGGGGTAGGAGGAATGATGGAATGAGACGGACATTATTACCCCATGTACATGTATGATTGCAAGAATGATTGTGCATCATGTATGGTCAGAGAAATTAGAAGTTGTGCTTCATTTGTGTACAATGAGTTGAAATGCATCCTGCTGTCATGTATAACTAATTAGAACAAATTTTGAAAAAAATTTTTAATTAAAATTAAAAATTCTTAAGTTTCTTCCTTTTCTTAATATTCATTTTGTATATATATTTTAAAGATCACCAATATTTAAAAGTATTAACTTCGTGATGAAAGACAAAGAAAAACCACCAAGAACTGCTTTGAGTAAATAACATGTTCTTGAAATTTACACTTAAGACAAGTACAGCAATCTCCCTTATCTACCAGTAATATGTTCCAAGAACCCTGGTAGATACCTGAAACTGCAAATAGTCCTAAACCCTATATATGTTTTCTCCTACATATACATATTTATGATGAAGTTTAATTTATAAATTAGACACAGTAAGAGATTAACACCCATAATAATATAGAACAACTGTAACAACAGACTATGACAAAAGTTATTTAAAACTTACAAGTCTTTTATTTCAGGAATTTTCCACTTAATATTCTCAGACCACCATTGACTACTGATGACTAGAAAGCAAAACAACAAAAGAGTGGGGAACTGCTATAATCAACTGCATGTTAGTATCATACCCCACAGACTCCACAACTCCCCAGCCAAAGCAGATTATAATTTAAGAATAGGCCTGATTGTGTGCATTACTGACACAGCCCACATATATCTACTGCTTGGACAGCACTTTTGATGGATTGGAAACAAAGAGTTAAATCACGGATATCCTTTACCTCTTCTGAAAGACTGAAAAAAAAAAAATCACATCATCACAGCACTAAATTAAAAATGAGCCAAAGCAGTAAAACCAACCTTCATTAACAAGGGTAGAACTGCCACAGAATTTAAGGAATGTAACAAAAACCCAAAGAAACTAAGTTGTTCTCCCACCATTCTGAAATGCTATCATGGCATGCTAAAACATGGATGAATCTTGAAACATTATGCTAAGTTAAAGAAGCCAGTCACAGAAAACCAAGTACACATTTTCATTTCTGTGAAATGTTTAAAAGAGGAGTAGATTTGTGGTTGCCAGGAGCTGAAAGGGGAGAGCAGAAATGAGAAAGACTGTGGGTGTGTACAGGTGCTTTCCATTTTTCTGAGGTGCTGAAAATGTTCAAAGTTAGACTGTGGTAATGATTGCACAACTGCATAAGTATACTAAAAACCACTGAACTGCAAGTGGATGAATTTTATAGTACATGAAATAAATTTCAATAAAGCTTTTTTTAAAATCTTAAATAAAATTGAAAACTTACTTCCTCACTCAAACCAGCCACACACCCCAGTGCTACCTGGCTAGTGGCTGCCATAATGGATGGTACAGATAGACAAAGTTTCCTTCAGCACAAAAAATTCTATTGTGTGGAACAGTTCCAGAACACTGAGATGTAACATGTAACCAGCAAGGAGAATTTGGAAATTCCAGTCTTTCACTAGCAGTGAAACAATGTCCTCTAGAAATAACTGATACAAGACTAGATCTGCAATGGAAGTAGACAGAAAACAGGAAACGGTCAAATGTGGAAGCTAGGAGACATTCTGCTCTCCTACCCACAGGTATTAAGTGTTAAGTAGTCAGAAGAAAAAGGAAAACAAAGAAACAAAAACTCCAGATTCTAAGTCTTCCAAAGACTGTAAGAGATCACAGTATTCTCTTGTCAGGCCATCAGCCCAACAATCCACTTTCCGGGTTGTGATGCTTCCTCAGAAAGAGATTTTTTTTTATCTATATATGACAGTGGAATGGATTACAATTCTTATCAAACATATAGAGCACAATTTTTCATAAGTCTGGTTGTATACATTCACACCAATTCCTGTCTTCATTTATGTACTTTGGATAATAATAATCATCACATTCCACCATCATTTATAACCCCATGCACCCTCCCTCCCCTCCAACCTCTCTGCCCTATCTAAAGTTTGTCTATTCCAGAAAAAGAGATTTATAATGTACATTCAAAAACCAGTAAAGAACTAAGTAGATGAAGTAAGTAGATATAATTTGATGTTGTATATTATTTTCACAACTAGGTAAAGAGAATATAACACATTATGAGGAAATTCCACCTTTGCAATATTACATATTAAATTAAAATATTTGTAATGATCCACTCATGATGATGCTTCTGTGGACAATTTTTAAAAACTGTTCAAAATGTTTCTTATAGTGCAGTGTACAAATTTTTCTTGTTTTGTACTGCCATCAAGTGGCAATATTATGAAATGCAGAATACCAAACTGCTTTTCTCCATTCTCTGAAAACCTAAAAGGGGCTTTCAAGACACATTGACCTATTTAAAAGTCTGAGTAGGTAATGTGATTTGAGAAATGCCTAAAAATTCAAACCTGTCCAGTTGCCTCAAGAATAATTCTCTCACTAAGCAATTCATTTCACTGGAGTTTCTGCTACTCATTGGCTGTATGACCTGGGCAAACTGGTGTTTTTCTGCTTGGCCTCCCTGCTTATCATAAAACATGGCTAATATTACAACCTTCATCAAAGAAAGAGTTTGATTACTCAGGCAATGTAAATGTAAAGTGAGTAAAACAGTGGCAGGCAGAGAGTAAGTGCTCAGTAAATAGATTTCCTCTCCCCACCCTCGTCCCAAAAAGGCTCAGCTAGTTCTACACTGTGTTCTGATTCCACTTCAGATTCCCTTTTCTGGTCTAACATACTATTTGTCAAGTCCTTCAACCCATGCCAACCAGGAAAGCCAGGATCCTAACTTTGACAATGGATTCTGCTGTCTAGTCTTAGAACATACATAATGGTATGTTCCATTTAGATCATGGAAGCTCTAATAATCAAAATGGATATTAACTGGCCTATAAAGAGCTTAATTTAGTTCTACTATCTACAGCTTGTAGACACTACTCTCTAATGATGCTTTCAAGTATATCTACTCTCTAAAGGTGCTTTCAAGAAACATTTCCAGCAAATGAAGCTAATTAAAAGCTCACCTTCATTTCTCTTCCCCCCACCAATCTTTCTCTCAGCTCATTCAAGTCATACCCATCCTTACTGTGTAAACTTATTTCCAATCCCTGACCTATCAGAGTACAAGCAAAGTTAAACCATTCTCAAATGGTTTATCCAAGAAAGGAAATTGGGGAACCATGATTAGTTTTAACCATTAACTTTTTGGCTCTACAAAAAGGTGGGGAGAGATTGATTGAAAGGGAGGGTGAGGGGGTCCAGGTTTGAACACCATGTAGTCCACAAAAAGTCCTAAGCAGCACAGTGCAACAGCACATTTTAGGGCCATCAGTGAACTGAATCCCTGTTAACTGTTCAATACACTATTCACCCACTGGTTAGACAGATATTAGTTAGCTTTGTCAGACAACTGTGAAGAGAGTAACTTTATGATTATTTACTCCAGTTTTACACCTGAATTGAGATGCTTGTTGAATTCAGGTCTAAATGGACTGAAAAAAGAGAACAGAAAGGACAAGTTTCTTGGGGCAGGGATGGTGGCTCAGGGGTAGAGTGCTTGCCTCACATGTGTGAGGTACTGGGTTCAATTCTCAGCACCACTTATAAATAAATGAATAAAATAAAGGTCTGTGAACACTAAAAAATATTTTTAAAAAAAAAAGAAAGACAAGTTTCTTGACCATAGAAAAATTGATCACCACAGATCACATGTAATATATTGTTTTTGTTATGGTTTGGATCTGAAATGTCCCCTGAAAGTCTCATGTTTTAAAGCTTGGTCCCCATTTGATGGATTAATAATTTAAATGGACTACTAGAAGGTGGTGAAAACTATAGGTAGGTGGGGCATGGTTAGAGGAAGTAGGTCACTGGGGATTATATTCTCATCCTTCCTCCCTCTCTCCCTATCCCCTTCCCTTCTTCCCTCCATCTCCTTCTTCTCCTCTACTTCTTTTACTGCCGTGAGCTGAGAAGCCTTCCTCCACAACACCATTGCGCCATAATGTTCTGCCTCATCTCAGGCCCAAAGCTATGGAACCAGCTGACCATGGACTGAAACTCTGAACCCATGAGCCAAAATAAATCTTTCCTCCTTTAAGTTGTTCATATTAGATATTTTGGTTACAGCAAGAAAAAGCTAAATAACACCACTCTGCAATACAACCGAACTAAGTGGGGGTGGACAACACATCAAATTCATAGATTTACATTTGGGCAACTAGTAAACCCCTTGAAACTTTAAATATCTGTGACTCAAAATAATTTCTTTTTAGAGTGTGAGGAGGCCAGTGAATTAAGGAGGAATGTACTTACATCACTTGAAGAGACTGTTCCTGTTTCAACAGCAACACCGCTACCACGAAGTTTCTATTACGAAATAAATTACTTATTACTTAGTTTTGTTTTAATTTTTAACCTGATAATAGCTTATAAAAGGGACCTCAATGAATTTAATAATTATTTTTCCCTAATCCTACATTATAAAAAAACATGAGGATGATGTAAAATATTCTAAGTATCATTATACTCTTCCAGAAAATATCTTAATTGATAGATTACTAAAAATGGAAAAATAATCTGATGCTAATCTGATGCTAAATTTTATATGTGAAAATTTATAATATAATATATAATATAATATAATGAAAATTTCCATTTCAAGATTTATTTACTGAATTTTTTTCCAAGATGAAGACTGCTTCTCACTGAACTATCTACATTATATTCTGTGGCAAAGCTTTTCAAAATAGGTGCCTGACAATAGAAGATACTACATGAGACTGAAGATTAGGTCATATATAGGAATGCTAATAAATTATGACAATCAACACCTCAAATATTATATAGACATGACCAAAGAAAATAAAATGTAAGGTAGAGAGTCAAAGGCTGAAATGCAAGAAGAAAAGTAACAATGAATTGCTCAAAGGAAATGTTTATTTTTATTCAATAACTACCAAGTAGTTGAACTACCAACTACCCAAAAAAAAAAAAAAATGCCAGTATAAAGTCAAAGAACAAAATATCCAAACCTGTAACTAACTTGAGCTTTTGAAAGTTTATTTCCTCTAAAATCAAGAAAATTATAGTCCTTTTTATGGGGGGAGGAAAAAACACTTGAGGGAAAGAAAGAGAGACTTTTCATATATAGCACTGTTCTATGACATTTGAGCAAGGTAAAGTAGTAAATGAAATCATAAATAACCCTACATTACTTCCTTTGAATAAGAAGTCTACAATTTAATACCGATAAAAGGCTGTTGAAGAACATTCTGCTCACAGCAAGAGAGAGTGAGCCTACAGCAAGCTGAAGCAGTGCGCAGACTATGAGACACAAAGCCAGACTAAGCAGGTACCCTGAAGAGGCACCCTGTCGCAGGATGACTTGCAAAGCCGAAATGCTAAACCACACCGAAAGCCAAAGACTGGAATAAAAAGACAGCAATGGATAGACACAGAAAAGATCTTGAAATATCAAGAAGCTCAATTCTAATGAAAACCATTCTAGGCACTGAAATATTTACTTCCACAATGATGAGAGAAAAACTTTCCCGCAATTGTTGGGACATGGTTACAATCAAGTAACGGTTAATTCTGATGTTGGTTAATTGAGGAAAGATAATTGTCTGTGAGGCAGTTTAAGTGATATTTCTATGAGAAAAAGTCTAAGGTGAAACTGCCCAAAGAGTGAGTGCAAGATTATAGAAGCAAACTCTCTGCCCTGCCAATATTCATTTTATGAATTCAGCAACAATACAGCCTTAAAAGAAAGCTAACGTTTAAGCAGAAATGAGGTTTATTTAAAAGGAGAGATAATTTCATAATAGAAAAAGGGATCAGTTTTTCCCATTTAACTAATAAGCATTCTGATTCCAAACGATATATATTTAGAAATTTAAATTTTCATTTTCACAAACATATTTTTTTCATGTTTTAAATACTGTTTGTTAAATACCTCACCAACTCAGTAAAATCTTCAAATTGGTAGTTCTTATAAAAATATTTTACAATGGTCTGGGATTGTGGCTCAGTGGTCGAGTGTTTGCCTGGCACACATGAGGCACTGAGTTCAAACCTCAGCACCACATAAAAATAAAGATATTGTGTCCACCTAAAACTAAAAAATAAATTTTAAAAAATATTTTACACAATAAGCCCACAAAGACTTAAAATTATTTTGGTGATTAAAAAGATTCAGTTTCATCTCAGACATTCTATCCAAACATTAAAGGCAACTAGACGAAAAGAGGCAAGCAATAAGGCAAAAAGTAAAGCTCAGCAAAGTGTCATGGTGTCTTCCTTTCTGAAGCCTCAAATTAAAATCTGTGGAAATAATAAGGTCACTTGAGACCTATATTACAACTTTCCAAAAATTTATTTCAAATAGATCCTTTTTGGTAACCTAAGGATGACAATATAACAATTACCAATATTACTTCTCCTAGTCTCATTCTTCCATGTCACCTACCCCACTACATTTTCTTCCCCAGAACACTCCCCCTGACACCCAACGTTATTTCTCTCCTTTTCTAAGCATCATTCCCACCAAACCTCCCCCTTATCACCTAACACTTAGTCACTAGAAACCTAAAAAAAATTACTCAGAAAAATCATCATAAATGTTCTATTTTACCCATTTCTAAGGAACCATTTATTTGGATAAATACAGAAAATTTGCCAATTTCCTCAGAAAATCTGTCATTTTTCCAGCTGTTTCACTAGCAAACCATCTTCCTTCATGAAGAAGTAGCTCTAGAAATGCCTGGAAGCAACCTAGATACCCAACAAGCAGCTTCATGTCTCACTTTGAGCCTTACTATTCAATCCCACAATCATACTGTGGTATCATGAAAACAAGGTGAGACACAGCCATCTCACAGCTGGACTGGGCAGCTCCAGGCTTACCCAGGACATCTGGAAGCCCAGTACAGACTTTTGGCCAAGACAAGGATAAGCGGGCTAACTAACATTCTATAAATGTTGTCTGCGGTTCATAACACCCGTGGTGGCACACAGACCAGTTTGTTTAATGGTGCAACCGGTTAGACGGCTTGACCTGGTTGTGACCAAAAGGATCTGAAAGACCTCAGTAGAAACTTTTGGAGAGCTCTCCCAAAAAACAAGAATTCTTGCACAAATCTTGATGGCTTAAATTCCTGAGGCAGATGTGAAAGCAGCCTGGAAGTCCCCGGGACTTGGAGCTCGCCTGCATATTCCCTCCAGCTGCACTACTTCTCCTTTACCAGAGGCCTTACGTGAGCATGCTCTTTGGAGTTGTGCAGGTCCTCTCAGTTCTCCAAGCTGTATAATCTTGGCAGCCACCTAGAAGGAAGACACTCCCTGACCACTGAAAAGCAAGAGCGGGAAAATGCAAGTGGCAGAACAGACAGAAAGGTTTGAATTGAAGCCAAAGAAAGAAAAATTAAACAGGCTACCATACCCAAGAGTAATTTGGCTTACTTATTAAGTTTTACTTTATAAAGTTCAAAATGGCATTACTTTCAATAAAATTTTTTTGTAATTCAACATATTTACTATAAATAGTTTAAGAGAACATGGATATTATGTTCCTTTTAAAGATACTAAAAGAAATTTCTGTTACCTGTGAACTCAGCTGAGTTTTTATCCAATTGAAATAGTAATTTAAGTCACTGCCTTCCATCAGTTCTTTTCCCCAAGCTGCTAACTTGGCAATAATTCTTGCTGCCTGAAAACAAAAAAGGAATACATTTGAATACCATCCTGATTGAAAACATCACATCATTTGCCTTGAAACTCAACTTCTAATCACTTTGATATATGATTTTTATAGCACTTGATTCCTGAAAAATAGTTTATAATTCACATTTTTAAATTTATTTTGAAATACAAACATTCAAAATGTATTTTTAGATATATCCACTAAAGTGAACCAAAATGAGATGTTTTAAGAATCTCATTTCCAGCTGCTCAGGAGGCTGAGACAAGAGGATCACAAGTTTGAAGCCAGCCTGAGCAACTTAGAGAGACCATGTCAAAGTAAAAAGGTTAGGATGTAGCTCAGTGGTAGAGCACTTTCCTAGAATAACTGAGGGTTCTTGGTTCAATGCCCAGTATCAACAGCATATGCACTACTTATGCATATAAGTAAAAGACAAAGAAACAAGAGATCTGACATTTCTACTCCTAGCATAATCTCCACCAACACATGGCAAATCAACAACAATCTGACCCTAGAAAGTTAAAAGGTTGGCCACAAGTAGTATAACTTATCATGGCTGTACATTTGCTCTTTAATATATTTGTCAATTTTATTATAACACTAAAAAGATATTTCAGTCAGGCAAATAGACAGTGAAAATAGGACTCCAAAATTTAGAAGAAGGAAGCATGTTATTGTTTTTTAAAAAGTTATTCTTTAAAATGCAGTTTATACCATTAGTCTTCCTTTTTAAGTTCCCATTTTATAAATGTTTTATTATACATACAATATATAAATGCACTAACACATAAATAAATACAGAAACACATGGAGGAAGAGGGAGAGAGAGAGGCAACATACATGCACAAAAATGTTTCAGACAATAGCCTCTGATTTGAATAATTTAAAGCTACCTACTGAAACAAGGAAGAGCCTCCAAGATCCTCTTCCTTCTTCCCCACCCCACTCCACTCCTGCCCCAGGCCCTCCACTGGACATAGATAAAGCTTGTTTATGCAAGCATTTATTCTCTCCCTCCTCTCATCCCTTCTCCACTCTCATTGAAAGATTCTTCAATGTTAGATCTTCTAAAAACAGCCCTTCAAGCTAAGACTAAAATAAGAGTGCTTAAGATATTAAAAAACAGGCAATTACTTAATTAAAATAAAATTAAACACAGTAGCTGCTTCAAAGAAAAATTCAAGTTCTACATGGTACACTGTAGTTAATCCTACTATAGAAAATTTGAGCTGTTTGCACATGTAAAGTCACCACAGACTGATACTAGTGAACTCATTATTACCCAGTAATCTACAAAACTTTGTGTCAGAGCAACTCTATATCCTTCCAACTCACTAATGTCTGCTTTTTACTAAGCACACTATTAAGAAAAGCTAATGTCACAGTAGTTACTCTTCTGAGAACTGGCAAGTTACCAGGTCATAAATGTTTCTTATCTAAATCAGAATGTGACCATGATTTTATGTCAATACTTTTAAAAAAGTGAAAATATGTTTCTTAAAAATAAATTCCTTTGTTATATCACATATATACTATTATTTTAAAAACAATATGATCAATTCAGAATTTACCATATGAACAGTAAAGGGATCCTGACGATTCAACATTGGCAGAAAATACGGCCAGGCAGTACTCTTGCTACGTTTCGCATACTCAAAGAAAATGCTGACGCGCTGGTGATTTTCCTAAAACAAAAAAAAATTGTACCACTAATCCAAATGAATTTCACTGATGAATGCAAAAATTGTGACTAGTTCTCAACCTTTTATTTTATATCCCTTTAGGTATATGTTCTTTCCCCCCTCTAGGTATATGAGTATCTCTCTCATTATTATTATGGGGCAGTGGGTAGAGATGGTGGTAGGGACAGATACTTTACAAATAAAATCACCTTTAATGATTATGATTATTTTAAATCACAAGGTGGAACTATACATTACATTTCTTCTCAGCCTATACCCTCTAACCTGCTGCTCCCAACATGTCTTGACACATCTTTGGACACCAAAGTGTCAACATCATGGCCACCATACAAAGGAAATTAGGAGGGGTCATAAAAGCCTAGATGAAGGATAAGCAGGAAATTCATCAACTATTAACAAACAGGTAAGGGAAACAGAACTACATAAATCTCAAATGTTCAAAGTTACTTCTAGCACATCTTGATAGAAAACTCAGGATAATAAACACAGTAAAACCAGCATATCACTCAGGCAGGCAGATATAGGAGTTGGTTCAAATTATGCAAATATCTCCTAAACTTTTCTGCATATCACTGGCTAAAATCCACTTTCTGGTTCATTAAGTGAATACAGTTGATAAGCAGCAATATTTTCTAAAATAACCACATAAATAATAACATCATTTTTTAATTATTTTTAAATACACTGGTTTAATATCCATCTGTGCTAACAGCAACCTACTTGAGGAAAAGACTACTATATTCTTAAGCAATTACTCATTAGTTTAAAATAGTTATGATAATGACTTTGAAAAAGGATTCAAAATTCAGGTAAGCCATTATACTTCATTGGTAGAGGAACCAGGCTACAAACCTTAAAGAAAATAAGGATAAAGTCCTTCTAGTCTGGTGCACTGGGCAATTGCTGTTGCTATGCAGACATAGAAAATAAAACAATTGACTTAAGAACTCAAATATAATATTGATATACAGAGACTATAATATTGATTTACAAAGCTATTGCTTTGTCTGCATAAACAAATCAGTTCAATAATAGAACAGAATAGAAATGATGTTTATAACAGCAATAAGGGAGACAAAATACTTAGGCTTAAGGTAAGAAATGTACAAAATCCTCTATGTGAAAAACACTACAACACTCCTAAACAAACAGGTATTTAAATAAATTGAATGACACCCCTTGTTCTTGCATACAAAATTTCCATAAAGATATCATTACTCCCTTATTTGAAAATTTAAAGCAACTCAGTAAAAATGGCAACAAACTTAAATAAAAATTATATGCCCTTTATCAGAAAAAAAAAAGGAAAGCCATGTCAGTTTTAGTACACAAAGTATCCACAAAGCCTCATATGATTCACCAAATTTTGTTGGTATTCAATGCAAAACTCTGAGGTAGCTCAACAAAAGCTATATATGGGTTACTTGATATTCTGAAAAACAAAAAATAGCTTACGTGTGAATACTTCCATCTTTAGCACTACCAATGAGTTAAGTGAAACCTTACAAAAATGTTATTTCTGTAAACAAAAAGATGAAGTCACCAAAGGTATTAAGAAATGAATATACCTACCTGCAACATATCATCAACCATAGTTAGTATGTACTGCACTGTCTGTTCTTTGGAGATATGAGTCATCAGATTTATGAAAGTTTTAGCACACTACGGAAAAATGAAATTAATGTTAATTATTGTTTTCACTTGCAAATATCATTTTACAATTAAAATGTTTACTTCAGTAAAACATTTCTCTTTCAAAAATAGAATACAAATACTATTAGCTAACAGAATTATAGAAAATGTATACCTTTTATAAATATTATTGAAGTATGGGAGAACCTTACTATGACTTGCATCAGTTATGTGTTGTTGTTTTGTTTTTGTGGTACTAGGAACTGAACCCTAGACCTCACACATGCTATACAAATACTCTTCCACTGAGCTACATCCCCAGTCCTTTTTATTTTATTTTGAGAGAGTCTAAGATGCCCAGGCTGTCCTCAAACTTGTAATCCTCTTGCCTCTGCCTCCCAAGTAGCTAGGATTACAGGTATGCACCACTGTACCTAGCAGATTTCTTTATCTTTTCTACTGGCAAACCTCAAAATGTTTACTATTATTAAGTAGACATACCTACAGCCACAGTCAATTCTTGATTCAAGAAAGCACAGTTATATAGACAATTAAAAATGGTACATAGATTTGAGTATTTCATTCTTTTCAATCTTTACTTTTTGTGCTGAGAAGTAGAAAACTAGAACAAGAGTACTTCAGATTGTAATCAGAAGCCCTTGATCCGTCTCCATTCTACAACATATTAACTACATAACAATCTCTCCAGAATTCAATAAAAATTGAAGCCAACAACAGATCATCTACCAATTTTCCCAAGATCACTGTGAGAATCACATCAACTAGTGCACAGACTCCTTCAACCACCCAGGGTCCTATATCAGAAAATCTGATCAGCAGTAAGACTGTATCTTATTTGGGGTCTAGGATCTAAACTCAATGTATAAATCAAATAGGGCACCAAGTTATTTCATAAAGTCCTTTAAATCATCCCCAGACTTTGTGAATGCAACACATTCAGAAATATGTTTGTCTTTATACTTCAAAACTTTCTGTACCCCAAAAGACGTACAAATTGAAATGTTTCACTCTGTATTCATGCATTCAATAAATCCCCAGTGAAACAAATAGCATGCAATAAATCCTATGCTGTAAACTTATCAAAATTATATTCATTCCAGAATTTATCCTGTATCTAAGAGTCATATCTTCCTTGGAAAGACAGTCCTTTTACCATACTGAACAAGGGAATTGTAAAGATTACAAGATGTGCCTATAGTTATCTTTAAATCCTTTAGAAAGTTAATATTACATTCAAAACAACCGGCAATTTTTAGTCAATACATTAAAATGGAAACACTTTCACCTCTTTAAATAAAAAAAATAGAAATTGCCTGTGACACTTCTGTCATTACTTTTGTTTTTCAATATATTGCTTTTTTTTTTTTTTTTTAATAAAATCAGACGTTTATTTTCTGGTAACAATCCAGAAAAAGGATCACACCAGAGACACCAATTAAGAAAGAACCAATTTACTTAACTAAAAAGTCTTATCTTATTAACACCATTTTCCCAGTCTTAGTGCATGATAGGGACTTAACATGAGTGTTAAATAAACACTGAATGAATGTTCCTTTCAATACATATGTGCTTGGAGTGAGGAAGCTTTGCATAGGATGACAACAGAAGACATCACAAAGGAAAGGAGGGAATAGATTTGCTTGCATAATTGAAGCCTCAATATGGCAAAGGGACCCATCAACCAAGTTTAAAATTCAAAAAATGAGCTTTGAAAATATGGCATACAGCTGGTATGTTGAATGCATGAAGGAATTGACAAATCAGTAAGATAGGTATAAACATTCCTAAAGAAAAGTAAGTAAAGAATATAGAGAAGCAGTTATTATTTTTTAAAAATATTTTTTAGTTGTAGTCGGACACAATAGCTTTATTTTATTTATTTTTATGTGGTGCTGAGAATTGAACCCAGGGCCTTACATGTGCTAGGCGAGCACTCTACCTCTGAGTCACAACCCCAGCCCTAGAAGCAGTTATTATGAAGAAATAAAAGACTAAAAAATTTATAAATGAGTGACATTATTATAATAAGATACTATTTTCAGACAAAAATCAAAATGCCTAAAATATAAGAATGAATGGTTAGACCCAGAACAGGTGCTGAAACGCCTTGAGCATGTTTATACACTGCTGGCAGGCATCTCAAATCAGTATAACCTATCAAGAGGACATCTTTATAATGTATATAAAACTCACATAAATGTCCAAATTGTTTGATCAGCAATCACATTTCTAGAATTCATTATGAGGAAGTAAGAATGTTTACCTCAAGACTTCTTATAAAGAGAAAAAATGGAAGTAACTAAATTATGTGGGGTACTGGTTTAGAATATGGTTCATTCATTAAATGGAAAACTACACAATTATTTTTAAAAGACACAGGATAACTGCTACAGGTATAGGGGAGGAGATATACAGTTAAATGAAAAGAACAAAACCATGTACATGTATCACACCATTTTCTTAAACCTCAGATTTGTATCAGTAAGTTATATATGCATAAAAAATGGTTAGAGATATTCTGAAGTGTTAACACAGGTCCACCTTGAACAGGAATATCAGGTAGAATAATAATGCTTATTTTATTCTTACTGTATTATTATATTTCATTATTTTTCTACAGCAAACATGTATAACAAAAGAAGGTAAAACTGCTGGACATGGTAGCACAAGCCTATAATCCCAGTGGCTCAGGAGGCTGAGGCAGGAGAATCGCAAGTTCAAAGCCAGGCTCAGGAACTTAGCAAGGCACTAAGCAACTCAGTGAGACCCTGTCTCTAAATAAAATATAAAAAGGGGCTGGGGCTGGGGCTCAGTGGTTAAGTGCCCCTGAGTTCAATCCCCAGTATCAAAAAAAAAAAGAAAGTAAAACTGTGGTGTGGTAGCATGTAACTATAATCCCTGCTACTGAGGCAGATCACAAGATCAAGGCCAGCCTAGGCAATTTAGCAAGATATGCCTTTTTATAAAAGGTGTAAGGATATAGAGTGCTTTCCCAGTATGTGCAAAGCCCTGAATTCCAACCCCAACACCGTATTAAAAAAAAAAAGGCAAAATGTCAAACTATATACATTTTAAATTATTATATATGAAAAACTCCAAAGATAAACAATAGGTTAAAAAACACTTGTTATAAATGGCAAATGTTAATATATCTTCTATGTTAAAAGACTGTATAAGGAGCTAGTCATGCTTGCATTTGCGGGCCCTGAGTTCAATCCCCAACACCCCAAAAAGGTATAAAATAAAAAAGAACCAAAATCTTACAGATTACAATAAAAAGAACCCCCAAAAGTTCAAAATAAAAACTTAACAAAGAGAAAAAAATGTAATCCCATGTAGTTGAAGTAATATCACTTTTAACCCACAAATTAGATTGTTTTTAATTATGTTATTATTGTATTTAATTATGTTTTTAATTATATTATTCAAACTTCACTAGTGAGAATGTAAAGCAGAAAAAAAACTTTAAAATGTTAAGCTTATTTTAAAACTTTATATACTTTGAAATAGTAACTTCTCCTCTAGAAATATATTCTATGAAGGTACACAAGAACAGAAAAGGATGAAGGCATAAACATGCTCAATATAACTTTTCTATAATTAACAAGAAAACTAGAAATATCTTAAATGTTTTCCAATAAAAGAATTTTTAATTAAATTATGGTGCAGGGCTAGGGGTGTAACTCAGTGGTAGAATACATACTTGGTAAGCACAAAACTCTGACTTAGATCCCCAGCACCACCAAAAAAATTATGGCACATAAAACTACAATGCAATATCACAGTCATTCAGATTTTTTTACAGGATTTTTTTTGGAGGGGTGGGTACTAAGGATTGAATCCAGGGCCTGCATGCATTCTACCACTGAACTATAACTCCACCTCTTTCTAAAATTTTTTAATGGCATGGAAAAGTCATAGCAAAATGTATATATAGATCACCTGGCTGCCTTCCATTTGAAGCATTTCTTGCTTCTCTTCAGGACTTCTTTTCATTTCAAATCTTTGAATAAATTCACAATCTTCAGCAGAAATCATCTGCCCCCTAGAAAATAAGAATAAATTGTTTTGTTCAATAAGAGTTGAACAGCCACTGTAAGCAAATGATTGAGGAATTCCAGCTTTTCTCCTCTCTCCTTTATATTGTTCAATAACATTATAGCATGACATTGTTTTGGTCTAGGCTCCTGCACCAAGCCCCAACAAAATGACTAAAAATCAAAATAGAGTCACTCATACTAAAGACCCACATCACCAAACTGAAACTAAGCTGTTACTTGACCTTAAGAAATCAGGAAAGATAACCACCAAATTCCCTAAATGGGCCAGTTTTACTAGGTATGATAATGAAGTTCACCCTGTTTAATCCTTACCAAAAAAGTTACCTGATTATTAACCAATTAGATATTTTTCTATTGTTCTGGTTCTCTGTTCCCACCTTACAAAGAATGTAACCTTAATATGACGATTTCATATTTTGTCGTATATTTCTTCTTTCTTCAGCCTTTGTCTAACAAAACCAACCTCTTTTGTTCAGACCATCAGAACACTTATTCTGTTTTATGGAGTGAAGTGTTACCTGACTCTACAATCACAAGAAACACCAATTAAGATCTTTAAATTTGTTTTGTCTTTTGACAGTACTAAAACACAAGAATTGACATAGAGGCCCTGACATCAAATAGATATCAAAATTTAGCTCTATCACTTATTTAGTAATGACATGACATCTGTGGAAAGTGATTTAATTTATCTACAAAATGGGGAAAACAGCCACATTTCTTTCAAGGGGCTGTACTGAGGATTAAATTAAGTAATTCACATAAGATGTTTAATACAGCAACTGGCCCACAGTATGCACTCACTAACCAGTCACCTTTTAGCATCAGCCAAAGTCTCGTCCACATGCCAAACAATTTACTTGACTATCTAATTTATCACAACCAAAGCCACTTCACATTGAATGTCTCCTATCATTTCCTTCAGCACATTTTTCCCTCTATATTCAGAATAGGTCATCCTTCTCCTCTCTGAAAAATCCCCTTTCCATTCTGATCTCATCTACATGGTTCTTCCCTGCTCCTGAGGCATCCCTTCATCCTTGGCTTTTTATTTTTCAAGATTTATCCCCATGGCTCAATCAAACTATGTCCTTCAAGGAGAAATAGAGCCCCATCTTCCTTCTCAATTTTCACGGATTCAGCATCACCACCACTCAATCTATCTTTCTGTTGCAAACCTGGCTTGACCTCTCAACTTCTCCACTCATCAAGGACTCAAACATGTCACAGCCCACAACACCCCGATCCTAATCGTGTGTGTGTGGGTGTGTGTGTGTGTGTGTGTGAGTGTGTGTGTGTGAGAGAGAGAGAGAGAGAGAGATACACCTGGGATTGCACATAGGGGTGCTTAACCCCTGAACCACGTCCCCAGCCCTTTTTATTTTTTATTTTAAGACAGGTCTCACTATGTTACTGAGGCTGGTTTTAACTTTCAATCCTCCTGCCTCAGCCTCCAAGCCACTGGGATTACAGGTGTGCACCACCAAGCCCAGCTCCCCATCCTAATCTTTACATCCAGACCCTTCTTTTAAAATACATGTCAGCAGCTTTGCTAGTCTCTGTAAGACTCTGGTCTGAAGGAGTCTGGAGGGAGTCACAACAAACTACCCAAAGCTCTGTAAGCACTGCAAAATCTTCCAAGCCTCAGCTCCCTGCCTGGAGCTTCCTTCACTGCAACCCCCAGCTCCTCAGCTTGATCAGCTCCTATGAGTACCTTCATGTGTTCTATAAAAACTTCCTCAAGTCTCCTAGTCCTTCCTTGTTTTGTATATACACACACATGCAATAAATTTCTCCACACTTACCACAATTCATTATTTAATTTGTTTAAAGATGTGTTTCCTCATTGGACTTTAAACTAAAGAGGGAGGGTGGTATGTTATGATTTTTGTAGCCTCAGTTTTATTGGACCAGCTTGAGTAGAACATGCCATGCCCACTCATTTCTATACTATTTAGTTAAGAAAAAGCTTAATCAAATATAAACACATTTCTGAATACTGTATTTTCATAACATGTTAATTTTTGAGAGACAAAAGCATATTGGCCTTTGACATAAAAAACTCTTCCACAGGTTTTGTTATGTCAAGCATATGTGATACAAAATTCATTAGTTATAGAGGTGACATTCAGCCCCCAACAATCTGTAAGGTCTTTAGAAAAAGAAAGTATAGTCCACACCCTCTAGTATCCTCACATCAACAGGCTCAGCAGTAGGCACAGTTAACATTTGGTGAACATTTACATACAGACATACAGAAGAGTTTTATAAAAGAAATTTGTGAAATGGACAACAGAATAAAAGCCACAACTAGGAAACAGAAAAAGCAATGTATGTAGTACAGAGGCCATGGAACAGGAAAAACAAAAGAGAAAACAAGTTAAAATCTCTATGTCACTAAAAACATTCCAAATACCAATACTAGAGAGAGCACTATCAGCCTGCTAGTACTTTATGTTCAACAATATTATTCTATTTAGGTTATAAACAGATTCAGCCTTTATAAACATGAAAATTCTTTTCCCTCTAGTCTAAATGAACTGTGGACAAAAGTATTATAAAACAGCTCAGAATCCTAATTTCACAAGTAATTTTAAAAACTACAATTATCAGTGACCAAAGAACATCTTTAAATCCCTCTTCCTCCTCCTGTCCTTCAGTCAGTAGTCCCACAATAATCTACCTCCTTAAAGTGAGAATTTAGAAGTCGTCCTAGACCACTTTCACCCCACACATCAAATCAATCACCAAGATTTTCTCAAATCTATACAATTCCACCCGTCCTAACAACCTTAACTACTGCTATTGCCTCTCCCGGCCTTAGGTTTGTTACCCACAAACCCACCTTTACACCATTGGTAAAGCCATCCAACCAAGGGACAAATCTCATCATTTAACTCCTAGCTAAGAACTTCAATAGCTATAGCAATGATTTTTAAAACTGTGCTCCTTAGAATCCTAATGAGGATAGTGAATGGTCTTAAAGAAGAAGGCTCTGAGGAATACGCTCCCAACTCCACTTAGCTACAATTTTCACCTGTTTTACAAGCTGAGATTCCTTATTAGACCCCAAAGCCAACCATGGGATCCACAGCTTAAAATCACCCTGAAAAGCACTGACAGGATTAAGTCCAAACCTCTTCCAAGGTTACTTACCCATGTACTCGGGTCCTTCAAAACAGGACCTGGCTGCCTCTCAGCCTCAGCTCTCCCCACTGCCTGCTTCCAAAACATGAATGACTGTCACGCAATGTGCCATTTTTTGCTTCCTTGCCTTTGCTCATGATGTGTGGTCTACTTAAAAGGTTGCCCTTTTTGCCACATGGCTAAAGACCATTCATTCTTAAAAACTCAGTTCAGAGACCATGCCCTTCAGGAAAAAATTCCTGAGGATATGATTAGCTGCCCTTTTTCTGTGTACCAAATAGGTCCTGGGCATTTTTCTATTATCATAGTCAACACACTAAATTAAAATGACTTGCATATGTAGTGTAAGTTCCTTTAGAGACAGTATTCTATGTCCTTTTTGCAGCTACAAAGCCTACAAAATGTATCAAAATGTGGTCAATATATGTTTAATGAGTGACTAAATTAACAGACATAAAATAATCACTTTTGGACACTATATACTACCACAAAACAAATTGCTAATTATAAAGCTACAGATGCTTCAATTAACTTTTAAAATGCATAAGCAAATTGGAAATGAATTTCCTTAATTATTCACTCCGTTATAAATATGGCAACAAACCTGAGGGATACTGATTCCATTTCACATTTACTATACCAAACCCAAGAGTAGTTAAGTGATTTGCCAGACACCAAACCAACAGAGAACCAAAATTCACCCCCAGCTCTTGAAACTCAGAATATTCATGCTTCTTCTTAGTAAGAACTATCTGGCAACCATCTGCCCCGACTCTGATCACCAAGTTATACTAGGCTCACGTGGCATGTTTAAGTCCTCATCCCCTTCCTCCATCCACATTCCTCCTATGTTTCTCACTCATTCAAATTCTTCCCAGACATAGAAAATCAAAAGCACTAGTAACATTTCTATTTCTCACTAGAGTCTCAAGCTGTTTCCACCATACTATGCTGTCTCCCTGAAACAACTAGTTATTCTAAGGAAATGTTTCTTCCACATTTACTAGTATTTTTCCAGCATTTCTCTCATAGAAGCATGACCATGAAAAAGTCTGATGCAAAAGCACATGATTACCCATGATTCACAGTACTTACTGAAGATAGGACTGCCAGTTTACTTTATTCGCTCGAACTTCTGCAGCCTTGGCTGCAATAATGTTGGTTGGGACAGCAGCATCCACAGCACCTCGAATATCCATTTTGGTCATCTAAATTTTACGATCTTGAATGCTTTTTAACAGACCTTCAATTTAGATGCAAGGTAAAAAACAATACCAGATATTAATTTTTCGTGTATAACCACTACTATCATCATCACCATCACTTTAATGTCCCCAGGCATTCAACTCAAATATTAAATATTCTCAATTTGAAAACACTAATGTTATATTTCAAATCTTGTCCACTGTCCCATAAAAGGGTTCTCTACAGGTTTTTTTCTTTTCCAGGAAAGGTTATTTATTTATTAGTCCTAATATCACAGTGAAATGTTTAAAGTGACCATTTAAAATACTGACATCAGAAATCATGACTAAAAAGAACAGGCATACAAATTAGGGAAGAAAAAAATACCTATATATATATTTGGTGCTGAGGATTGAATCCAGGGCCTTGTGTATGCTGAGGAAACTATTTTAAATTTATACAGTTGAGTTCAACTTTCGTCTTTTGATAGAGAAAAAATATAAACCACATATTAATGTTTAGTAAGCATCATTTTAAAGTAACACGTTAAAAATTATAAGACCTTCCTAAAATTCATTCAAACTAAAATATACAAAGTGGGAAAGTAATTTCTCAGAAGACAGTGCTTTCCTTTAGCAACCAAAATTCATAATATTTCCAAAATCAATTTGGGGAGAAATTTTTGAATCAAAAACCTATTGTGATTTATACACAACCAACAATGAGAGCCTGAGCCTGTTTTATAACAAGAACCTACAATGATAAACATTTACGTACTTCTCATCCCTAAAACTTAACAGATAACAGCTTATGCCTGACTTTATCACGAAACAAAACGTAGGTTCCCATTAGCAAAATATAAGTTCTTGGTCATGGCCACAAAGATGCTAAAGTCACACCCAAAATTTTACTCCGAGTTCCCCACGACCTTAGTCAGTTTGAAATTTAACCTCTGTATTGAGGATTTGCTGCCTAAACAAGCCAGTGCAGTTGGGGCTGCCGCGGACCCGGTAAAAACAGGCTCAGCCCAGGCTAGGCTGGAGCTCTGGAACCATCCAGGCTCGGCCCCACAGGCCTTTCCTGGGGTGGCTCGGGTGCCTCAAGACTGTTATCTCGGTCCGTGAACCACTGGCACCTCCGGCAGGCTGGGGGCATGGCCCAATCCTGGAGAAAAGATCCTTTTTATCCATTTCCCTTCATTCCCCTGGCCCACTCTTCCTCCCTTCCCCCTTAGGGGAAGGCTCTGCGGTTTCGCAAACCTGATCGAGGCCTGGAAGGAAAGCAATGTGGCCACCCCTGGCGGGAGGACAGGTGGGGCCGAGCGGTAAGGGGCCAGCGTGCACCAGGGAAGCTGGGGAAACCGCAGCGGTAGTCTCACCGGGGCAGGTGCCTTACCTCTTGAATCCTGGGGACCCCACAACGCACCCAAAGGAGACGGGGAGGGTGCGGCGGCCGGGGCGTTGAGGCCGCAGCCAGTCTGGGGCGCCGAGTCAGAGCCAAGTTGGCGTCTCCTGCCGGTTCCAGGGGGCTTGAACGGCGGCTGCGACTCGGCAGCAGGAAAGTGAAGCGGTACCGGCACCAAGGAGGCGTTGAGGACCCACAGGCAGAAGGAAGCCCAAGCTGCGGCAGAATGACAGGAGCGCTGGTCACGTGAACACACGCACGTGACCGCCGCGGAAGGCGGAAGCCGGGAGAGCCCAAAACAACCGGAGGAGGGGCATTGCGCTAAAGAGGGTCTCACACCTTGGGACCACGGCGTCTGCTCCGGAGCCACACAGACCGAGCGAACCTGATCCGAACTCGCGCCCGCAAACCAGCGGCCCGCCGGAGGCAGCTCAGAACCCCGGTCTGGAAATAGCGAGCAAGGCCAAAATTTAACTTTTTTTTGCAAAGAATGATCTAATAATACCTTTTAAATAGTTTGATTTTCTTTGGGGTTTAAGAGTTCGATGAAGCAGGCATTCTTATTCCGATTTTAAATATGAAACTGAAAAGTGAATCACAAAAGTTATCTTCACCTAGGGTTGCAGATTTGGCAAATAATATATGTTTCCTATAATAATTGCAATTATAATAAAAAGTTATTCATTTTTTTATTTAAAATTCAAATTTAATTTAGCTTCCCATATTTTATTTGACAGCTCTCTTGAGCCCAGGTTTTCCTTTTGTATGGCCGCGCCTACCCCTCTTTGTCTTAAGATGAAGTGATACTAAACTGCACCACTGGTCATATATATTTAACAGCATGTTTTGGCTAAAAGCACTGGAAATGAATTATAAATATAACCAGTACGTTTCTATTAAAAATATTGAGGTCAGGGCTGGAGTTGTGGTTCAGTGGCAGAGTGCTTGCCTAGCATGTGTGAGGCACTGGGTTCAATTCTCAGCACCACATATAAATAAATGAATAAAATAAAGGTTCATCAACATCTAAAAAATATTTTTTAAAAAAATATTGAGGTCAAGTTTTAAAACAAATCTAATATGGTACATGAAAAAAAAACACAGTGTGCAAAATTGTATTAATTTTCTATTGCTTCAACAAATTACCTCAAATTTACTATATTAAACCAACATAAATTTATTATCTTAACAGTTGGGTAGGTCAGAAGTCCAAAATGAGTCTCACCAGTCTAACAAGCTTTTGGCAGGGCTGAGATCTAAATTCACTCTCCCCATCTCTAGGTCTTTAACCTTATCACATCTGCAACCTTAGATCCCTTTTGCCACTTAACATTTTCACTGGTTCATTACATGGACATTTTTAGGGGACCATTATTTTGACTATCACAAATTAGAGGGAATGATTACTCACTAATCTAGATGGTTGTGTAAAAATAGAAAGTGACCCTATATGTTGTTTTTCTAAAGTAAAATTTATATATACATATATAAGCATTTAATGTGTGTATATACACACTTCTACTTTACTTAATATTTAGTATTGTTCATGGAGCATAAAGAAGAAAATTTGGTAGCTTTATCCAGACCACACAGGGTTCATATATTTTAAGCGGTCATTGTATTTTATTACAGCAAAAACATTTTCAAGGCTCAGTGGTAGAGTACTTGCCTAAATGCTTGAGGCACTGAGTTGGATCCTCAGCACCACATAAATGTAAAATAAAGATATTGTTTCCACTTAAAAACATTTTCAAAAGGAAATGTTAATGTCATAGAAATTTGACATTACTGAGTAGAAATGAGGACTTTTAAACACTTCAATTCCATTTGCTGCCTTCTGATTTATGTATTTTTTTAAGTACCATTTTTAAAAGAATTGTAGCTGATGGGCAAAATGTTAACTTTTCTAAAGCGTGATGCAGGATGCAGTGGCACACACCTGTAATCCCAGGTACTTGGCCAGTCTTGGCAATTTAGCAAGACCCTGCCCCAAAATAAAATAAATAAAAAGGATGTAGCTCAGAAGTAGAACACTCCTGAATTAAATCCCCAGTAACACAAAAAAAAATTGGCCAAATTATATTGTGTGCATGTATGAATATGTAACAATGAATCCCATCAGTATGTACAACTATAATGCACCAATTAAAAAATGTGAGGAAAAAAAAGAAAACCGAATTGTGGATACATAGATTTCCCTTACATTGTTCTGTTTATTTGGAATTATTCTTTTTTAGAAGACTGATCATTTAGATCAGTGCTGAGGATTGAACCCAGAGCCTCAAGCATCCTAAGCATATGTTCTTCAACTGAGATACACCCCTAACCCAATTGAGCCCATTTAGAGGGAAAACTGTAGCCTAAATTAAAGAATGATTTGCTAACCAAGAAATTACTAGAATTATGGGCTGGGATTGTGGCTCAGAGGAAGAGTGTTTGCCTCACCTTGGTGAGGCACTGGGTTTAAATCCTCAGCACCACATAAAAATAAAATAAGGATATTTTTTTATGGTGGTGGTGATGGTGGTATTGGGATTAAACCCAGGACCTCACACATGGTAGGCAAGTGCTCAATCTCAGAGCTACATTCCCAGTCCTTTTTTTGTTTTTGTTTTCATTTTGTAACAAAGTCTTGCTAAATTGCCCATGTTGTCCTTGAATTTGTTGTCCTCCTGCCTAAGCGTCCCTAGTAGCTGGAATTTCAGGCATGCACCATTGCATCTGGTTTTTAACTCTAATATTTTAAGCTCAATACATATTTCCAAGTTTCTGGGAGTGGAAAAGGGTCTTTGAAACTGTAGGACTTTCAGGGTTATTGTAATAACTAAGGAGTGAATGCTGCTGGTAGTTGGTGTCCAGAGACCAAGGATGACCAACGGTAGAGATCAATAGCAGAGGATGTTTTCTGACCAAAAACATCAGTAGTCTCCAAAGTAAAAGTATGAAGACATGAATAGATCTGAACATACGTTTTCAAATCTCTATTTGTATATAAAGTATGTTCAGATCTATTCATGTCTTCATATATATATATATGAAGTGATCCTATGGAGAAAAACAGGTGAATGGCTCTCTGCTCACTAATGTGTCATTCAATATATGAAGACAGATTCTAGGCTGTACTGGGGACATGGCCTTACAATTACAGAATGGCATGCTTCTGGAACATCTGAATACAGAACTCTGTACTGCCAGAAAGAAGTAGTATGAGTATCTACCCTAAAGTTAAGTATGCACACTCCACAATCCAACAAACTTCCAGAAGTCTTTCCTACAAAACTGTTAGCAAGAGTGCACAAAGATGAATGGACAAGGGTTTTCAGTGCAATGTTCCTTATAATAGCAAAGCAATAACAGAAAATAATATGTTTTAGTAAGCCTGGGCTGTCATAACCAAATACCACAGACCAGATGGCTTCACCAACAAATTTATTTCTCACAGATCTGGAAACTGAAAGTTCAAGATTAAGGTGTTGGCCACTTAGATCGTGGTAAGGGCCAACTTCCTGGTTTGTAGGTTGCCACCTTCTCTCTGTGTCCTACATGGCAAAGAGAGAAAGCAAACTCTCTCCTGTCTTTTCATATAAAAACAGTAATCCTATTGGATCAGGGCTGTACTCATGACTTCTTTTAACCTTAAATATCTCTTTGAGGGTCATATTTCCGAATACACTCATATTGGGGCTTAGGATTTCAACATATGAATTTGGAAAGGGTGGAACACAAAATTGAATAGAGAATTCGATATCATACACTGAAGTATTATATAGCTATTAAAAATATTTAGATAATAGTCAAGTTCTGACAGACATTTATGCTATGTTAAATGAGAAAAGTATGCTCAACTAATATGTACAGAATAATATAATTTTATTGTTTAACTGAATGTTTATATAGTATATTTATGGGTACATACCACTGTAAAAATCTATAATGACACACATGAAAGTGTTTATCAAAATGGGTAACTCTAGGGAGTGGGAGGTTAGATGTGGATTTTCACTTTTTTTTTTTTTTATTTTGGTGATCAAACCCAGAGGCACTTACTCACAAAACTACATCCCCAGCCATTTTTATTTTTATTTTGAGATAGGGTCTTGGTAAGTTGCTTAGGGCCTCACTAAGTTGCTGAGGCTAGTCTGGAACTTGTGAAACTCCTGCCTCAGCCTACAGAGTCACTGAGATTACAGGCATGTGCCACTGTGTCAGGGATTTTCACTTTTGACTTTAAACACTCTATATAATTCCATGTGTTAAAATCAGCATGCATTACTTTAATGTTTAAAAAATTGAAGACAGAATTTTCTAGTAAAGCCACCCAAGCCTGAGGTTTTCTTCATGGGAAGATTATTAACTACAGTTTCCCTTTCTTTAAAATATATATAAGGCTATTCAGATAATATGTTTATTCTTAAGTGAACTTTGATGGTTTGCATCTTTTGAGGAAATTTTCCATTTCATTTAAGTTGAATCATTTATTAATTTAAAATTATTCATAACATTTCTTATTATTCATTTGATATCTATAAAACTAAGTTTACCTCTCTCATTCCTTTATTGGCAATTGGTAGTGTCTTTTGTTTTTGTCTGATCCAGTTAGCTAGAGGTTTATCAATTTTATTTATCTCAAAGAACCAGCTTTTTGTTTCATTGATTTTTTTTTCCTATTTAAATTCTGTTTTCCTTTTTATTTTTTCAGTGCTGGGGATCAAGACCTAGCGCATTACTGGGCATGTACTCTACCAGCTACATCCCCAGCCCAGTATTATTATTTTTGCTTGAAACAGTCTTCTAAGAAGAATTAAGCAATTTTTAAAGTCTATATTTATCCTCAATGGCTACCATTTTCAGTGCTGTTTCTTCTTGTTGTATTTGTCTAGATTTGGGGCCTTGGTTTTCATTTTCCTTCTGAATAAATTACTTCATTTAACATTTCTTATAATTAAAATTCTGCTGGTGATTAGTTTTGCAGCTTTTTGTGTCTGAAAACATCTTTATTTTTTCTTCCTTTTTCAATGTGGTTTTCACTTAGTAAAAAAAAATTTCTTATTGACTGTAATTTTTCTTTCTTGTTTTAGAACTTCAATTCTGAGTTAATAATGGCATCATTTTTTTGTGTGTTTTGGTTTATTTTTTTAGTTTCTCTACTGTATTTTTTCCTGATTTTTAAAAATGTGCTATTGTTCTTAGCTTTGTTCTTCTCTTTTTAATGTGTTTTATTTCTCTGGCTGCT